GTAATTTGTAAACATATGCAGAATGCAGCTCAGTAGCTGCTTGTGGTTTTTTTGTGTTGTTACTACTTCTATTATTACTATTCTGTTTATGGCTTGTTATTGCTTGTAGGTTTTCTATTTCAGACTTTTAGTCTTAAGGTTTTCTGGACAACATGATGTGTAGCTGCTATTTTTTGGTTTTCTATAACTCTATTGATTGGAAAAAACATTGTACTAGTTTTAGTGGTTTGTTATGCTCATAGGTTGAGAAAATGGTGTGCTACTGATGTTGGTTGGAGAAAATGACTTGTGGTCAAAATGAGTCTTTAGTTGTTTGAGACTATGAATCCTGATATAATGATAGGTTCTGTTATTTTTTTATTTCCTACAACTGGTATTTTCTGACCTTATTTCAATTATTTGGCCGGTAGGCATGCCATAGACTGGCTGGGAGCTTGGGTCTTGTTTTATGGTTCTATTTGGTTTTCTTTTGTTTTTCTCATGTTGGTAGTTGGTTGGAGAATTTGAGCTGATTGAGTGATGGGGTTATTGGGTTATACTGGTAATATGATTGGAGTGTTGGACTTCCAACTTCTGTTATTAACCTTATTATGCAGTAATTGTAGTTTTTGTGGTCTTTTCTTCTGCTGATGAAGGTTTTCTTTTTGTATATGGCAATAATGAAGAACCTAGTGAATTTATACAATAGTAAAAATACATAAATATAGATGCAACCAGGTTATAAATTGGGGAAAGGGGATTTATTTGCAATGGGCATATAGTACTTCATTGAATAGATACTAAAATTATTAATTTCATATTCCCAATTTGTAATCTTGGAGGGGTCATTTCTTGAAATTATTGCAGATGACGATTCTTTATTAGGTTCATCAAGAGTTAGCTAACACTCTAACAGTCTAACACATTGAGGCTTGGCTATGGCCTTTTTTTTTAGGTTCATTGGTGAGATATTCAGATGACTGACTACACATGCAATTATCAAAATCATAAATTCGTTTGTATTTGTAAATTGTAATGTATTTTTGTATTTATAATTTCAGAAAATTATAATGATTTTGAAATGTGTATAAATGTATCGTGTAATGTATTTTTAAAATGTAAAGTATTAATAAAATTTTAATTTCATTCATTTATTTTTTATTTCCTCATTGAATTTTGATTTTTTGAATTTATACAATGTTCCTTTTTTAGATTTTAAAATTTGCCAAAAAAATAAAAATATCAGGTTGGCGGGTCATGTTGACCTGACCCAGATTTAGCCCGAGTTTGGTTCGGGTTCAGTAAGTGGACCCGTATAGCTAAATGGGTTGGGTTCGGGTCAACCCGTTTAGCCCCAGGTTAGTTCGGGTTTGACCCAAACCCAATCCGTTAACCCGAATTGATACCCCTACCTTTTGGTAGTGCAAAGATAACCTTGATGGAGTTATGTTCATTTTGACTTATCCTTAAGAGAGACATTGCTTATAATATTGATTAGTATAATACTTTCGAGTTGGATAAAGTACAAAACATATTGTGTAATTATAGCACACATTTTCTCATTCCCACATGCTTTAAGATCTTTACATGGAATTTACCCTGAGAAAATCTCACATTATGTAGTAATTTTACTCTATTAATTTTGATACTTGATGTTCATTAGAAGATGATACTTCATTTCTTATTATAAAATATATGATGCATCTCACATAGTGTCCATGATACTTTAAGAAGTAATTCATTCTCATGGTCAACTAAAATGATTGTCTTTGACCAAGATGCATGATGAGCGCATTTCTAGAAAATTCTACATAGAAAGTTTAATATAAAACTTTTATTCTCTACAAATACTATCCACAAAATGGTGGTCAAATTGAAGATATTAATAGAAGTATAGGAGATCTATTTAGGTGGTTAGTGTTAACCATATTACCAATTGATATATTGTTCTTCAAATGAGAGTTATCCTATAATAATTTTCTTAATTGGTTAACAAGTATATAAGTACCTTTAATGTTGTCACTAAGTGTAAATTATGAAAACCTACTGATCTAGTAGACATGTTTTATATAAGTTTAGTGCATTTAAAACTTCCATTGTTCAAAATATAATTTACACCATTAAATTCAACATAAATATATATTTAGCTATAATAAGTATTAAATTGATGTTTATGCATGTAGGCAATACATTGAATTTAATAATAGAGATTTGGGTTAAGAAGTTAACTCTCATGAAATAAGAACCTCATAGAGTTGTGAGGAAGATCAATGATAATGCTCATGAAGTAGATCATTCTATGAATTTTTAAATCTCACCAATGTTCAATGTAAGATTTAGCATAATGTTGTTGGAATATAACATATATTTTGATTCCTTATGTGTATAGTACTAACATGGAAGTTATTACTCGATCAACACCTTTGCCAACCTGTCACTTAAGATCCCACCTTTTGGAACATATTTTGGATAAATAGCTAATTGCCACATTAGATGGAGGAATGAGAATCCAATGATTTTTGGTTTGCTATTGAAACCTCTCACCTCTTGACTGATTGATGTTTATGAGTAGCAATAATTAACATTTGTAGATGTACTTATATCTTCATACTCTAAAGAAAAATCTTTCGGGACAATGATATGCTGATGTGAATCTTAAGATATATATATATGTTGACATGAGCATTGTGCTAGCCTAGTCATTCCCTTGCCTTAGTTTAGCCCATTGACTTTTTAAACCCCTCTTAATCGCCCATTGACCACCACATCACCATTTAATTTATCTTATCGCTTAGTCATTTTGTTCCCTAGCCACCCTACATAACTTGGTCAGCCCCTCCCACTTTTAGTCTATCATGCATTTAATTCAAAATCAAAGAAGTCATTATGTTGACTAAAATCCTAAGTGCTTAACTTGGAGTGGGTTGTAATTGAGTCGAGTTATTGCTTAATCTAGCCAAATTTATTTATTTTATACTTAGGTTGAACTCGAGCTTGAGCTCATTTGCTAAGCTCGAGCTTAGCTTGAGTGAAAATATATAAGTTTCGAGTAGGGCTACAAACGAACCGAGTCGAGTATGTGAGTGTTCATGTTTATGTTCATTTAATATCAGATTGTTCAAGTTTGGTTCATGTTTGTTCGAGCTTTATTGTTTGTGTTCATGTTTGATTCATTTAAATTAATGAGTGTTCATGTTCGGTTCATGTTCATTCATTTAGTGCTTATCGAGCTTTAAACAAACAAACATGAATGAGCTATAAATGAGCTTTACTTTTAGATGTTCATTAACTTAACTAACGAGCTTTATCAAGCTTCCTAACAAACGATTACATCGAGCATGTTCGTGAATATATTTAACAATTTTTTTTAACTATCAAACAAACATGTTCATGAACATATCTATGAACAAACACATTTATAATAAAAGCAATTGTCTATGTAACAAAGGCAGTGATTTATAAGCAAATCTTATCTTCACAGAATTTTCCTAACAGCAACATTAATAATGGCAATGATTTATAAATAAATAGCCATAGAAAGCTACAATTACTTAGATAGCAAGTTATTTTTGTCGAGCTTATTCACGAGTTCAAAATCGAACACGAATTGAGCTTTTATCGAGCTTCTATTCAAGCTTAATGTCGAGCTTGTTCACGAACTTCAAATAATGTTGTTCACGAACATAAATGAGCCGAACGCAATAGTGTTCAAGTTTGTTTATTTAAGAATTGAGTATTTAAAATATTGTTCAAGTTTATTTGTTTAGTTAATTAAACGATCACAAAAGAGCTTTAATCGAACTGAACAACGAGTAGCTCGTCGAACGTTTGGTTCGCTTGCAGCCCTAGTTTCGAGCTCAACTCAAATGCTCAAGTTTAATAAAAAAGCTCAAGCTTGACCCATTTTTTAGCTCAATTTATTATTTTAAAATATGAATAATGAACAATTAATTATTTTAATAAAAATATTGATGTGTCAATTATTACTAATCATGCTTACTCAACAACCTAGGCCAAGCTAAGCTCAAGCTTGAGATTGTATACTATATATTAAGCTCAAACTAGAACTAGTTGCTCAATAAGCTTGACTCGTGAGCACGTTAATGAGTAAAATTTAAGCCGACTCACAAGAGACTTGGCTCACTTACACCTCTAACTTGGAACTTTCTAGAAGTTCTTGGTAACTATGGTAAACCCTTTGAAGCCCTCTCGACAATTCATTTCTCCAATTTTTCATGATTGACTAATCCCTTCTCCTTCATTTTCCATGGTGTGGCTCACTTGATGGTCTTATTTGTATAAATCATATCATTTGTACGATGGGATGATGATTGACCTTCAGAAGAACAACTTAAGTTGAGAGTTCTAAATCATTAAAAGGGACTTTCAAGGAAAGAAGATCCTTGAAATGAAGACTTGTTCCTTTAAGCTTACTTCATTTATCTCCACTTAACCATGAATTCACAAGAAAAAGAGGAGAACGAAATGATGCATTTTTTATTCAAATTCAATATTAATCAATTATTTAATTAAAAAAATCTTATTTATAAGTAAAAATATCTTGAATTTAAAAAATTAATTTTAATTCAAATTTAAATAAATCCCCAATAACCCTATCATCTAATTTTAAAAAAGAAATAATCCTAAAATTGAGTACTTAAAACTTAAATAAAATCCTTTAAAAACCCAAAAACACTAAATTAACTTAAAATTAAAATAGATTAGTCTTAATACAAGTCTTTTACTGCATCATTATGCATGCAATTGTACGAAATTGATGTCAAAAGCGTAAATTATTCAAAATAATAAAGTTTCATCCGAGCATTCAAGTATTTCATTCTGGTTAGCCATTATGGAAGAATGCAAATCACATTTAAATTAGACCCGAGTTATCAAAAAAATTACAAGCATGCCTAGCTAGCATCACACCCCCTTTCAAAAGCGTAAATTATTCAAAATAATAAAGTATCATCCAAGCATTCAAGTATTTCATTCTGGTTAGCCATTATGGAAGAATGCAAATCACATTTAAATTAGACCCGAGTTATCAAAAAAATTACAAGCATGCCAAGCATCACACACCCTGGTGAACTGACAAAACTGCCCCTACATGATATGTTTTGAAAAATAATCTGTATTGTTTTTTGTACAAATTCTTCAATGGGAGCCATTAGCAATCTTCATCATTAGCTTAGTGATGACATGGGTTAATATTCCAATGGGGCAGGAAAGAAGGCACAAGGTGACCGAATGCCGAGTCTCCACATTGCTCTTCAATCCATCGAGAAATACCTGTCTGGCAAAATAATTACATAAATTAAAACAAACAATTGAGCTCTGGAACGCAGGAAGAACAAAACAGTCAAATACATTCACCAAGGCTTCGTTTGGGACGGATTTCTTACTGCTTCTTAAAGCCGTTTTTTAGCACAAAAAATTTATAAAAACGGCTTTAAGAAGCAGTAAGAAAGCCGTCCCAAACGAAGCCTAATTAAGGTTTCCGGGACAACTTTCTTACTGCTTTATGAAGTAACTTTTTCATATAAAAATTTTAAATTCAAAAATTTTTTGTACTAAGAAACTGCTTCATGAAACAGTAAGAAAGTTTATCCCAAATAAAGCCTAAATTTGAATATATGTTCAATTTAATCGTTTGACTCTTCAAATATGATCTAAAATAATTCATCTGTTATATAATTTTGGATCAAATTTAAATAATCAATGGATTAAATTGAAAGCATCAAATAGTTGGGGATAAAAACGGCCCCTCATAAATAATCCAAAGATCATAATGACCTCTTCTAAGTGTTATGGAAGGAACCTTGCAGCATAAAGATCTACAACAAGTAGGTGAATCCATGCAGAAGCCATGGTCTTCTCATTTGCAAACATCTTTGCCATTCCAGGTAACTGCAGGAGAATGGCATATTCTAAGTAAGCAAGTGGATGTTTATGAGATTGTTTTGTGTTTCTACGTTTTCAGGAATTTGTTACTTGAAATAACAAGTATTTGAATATAATCCCAAGATCCATGAGAACATTAAAAGTAATTTCCTACCTCAGGAAGCAAGTATTTAGTAGCAAAAATCACGTTTAATGTTGAAGGAGTCCATGAGAGATATAGAAGGTATCCATACAGTATGGCAAGTGCAGCAAAGGGAATATTGCTGTCCATAACTCTCCTAGTCTGCAATTTAAGAGAATGTTTTCTGTAATGATAAGAAAAGGATCGTTTTTTCATTGAAGGAAACAGATAAATTATGTTAAGGATTTACCAAAGTAGATTTAGGTACAAGAACCATGAGTGCGTAGAAAGGAAGAACAACAACCGTTCCCCAAGTGAAAGCAGTACTTGCAATTTGCGAACTTGTTATCACTGTAATGAGAATAGACTAAATTACGCAAAGAAAATGGGAAGAAAGAAAATGTTTTGATGGACATCCACTGGAGAAATCATTTGCCCTAAATCTAAAAAGTAGCAGGTAAAGAATAGTTCGGGGAAATAGTAAACCATACAGATGATTAAGACAATGCAATTTCTATAAGTTGAGTAATAGCTATCAAATCATTTCAAGGACCTGCAACAATCTAAGAGCACTTTTCATTCTTTGCATGTTGCTAAAAGAATAAGTAAAGATGTAATATATGAAGTAGGAGTAGGGGGTTCAAAAAAAATCCTACGCAATCACACAATTTGTTATGAGTGTAGACGGGCAGATTAAGCCTCTCTTTTGTTTTAACGTGGGCAAACTCAATATATAAAAAAAGTAAATAATAAAAATTATATATATATACATATATTTCATCAGCAAAATTCTAAGAAAAACTATTTCATTATAATAATTATATTAATAAATTCCTAAAATTCAAATTGTGGACGCCATACGTCATGCGTAATTGCTCACGACACGGCGTAGCTGGCGCGCGCCAACTTGAACATGTGTGCCGCGCCGCGCCATGCGACATGTCGTGCGCTATTTTGCGCCATTGACAAGTATGAAGGGCTCCCATCCCTTGGCTCATAGCTTTGGTCCATTTTGGATCTGGTACTTCACACAACTAAGAATATATATTGAGGACAAATGATTAATAGTAAGTGTATATGAGTTTGATAGTCTTTGGATGAAAACATGATTGCTAATTTGGTACTTTGTTTTGGCTTTAGGATTAGGATCATAATTGTTGGAAAAAGATAGTGATAAACGAGATAATTACAAGAAGCACAGATAAGAGAGCCTTTGGGATTGCTTATAATTCTCTGAACCTGTGGTCGGAGCACAACCCTTGAACCTTCAAGGAAGCTCCTCTGAACTCCAATCTCTCTAGTATTATAATCAATCCTCCTGAAGGGAATTTCAGCGCTCATTCTTCTCCCAGGAAACAAAGATTGCTGCCCTCCCCGTGCCAAACTACACTGCATCATGGTGTTAAATGAAAACGATACCTGCAAACAAAATTTACCAAGTGAAATCATGTTTAATTCAACAATTCCCAAAGTAAGAAATCTCCTGCAACTTGAATTTCATGATTCTTTGTGGGCCAAGTAGCAAGGTTTAAAATAAACAGTAGATACAGTCACACAGTTTCATCAGGAATTGGGCAGGACTAAAGTTTCTCAATCCAGTTAAAACGGCTTATCCTAATCCACAAATCGCAATCCCCTGTTTTTTTTCTGCATAATATAACCTCCATCCCTCATACAAAAACTGGGATCGGTGAATTCATTAACCATTATTTAAGCTAATTTAATCTAATATCGGGCAGAAGAGCGAAAATTTCTACAATAACAGATGAAATAAAACTCCAACAAAAAATCAACAGGTTGAGAAGACAGCGAGGGTGGAGGCGATGACCTGTGAACACATGCTGAACAACCAGAGAAGAAAACGTTTGGAAAGAGGCAAGCAGAAGAATTGAGAGCAAAGAATCAATGCCGAAATCTTCCCGGCTTCTCCATCTATTTAAAACTGCTAATGCCAGGCCTTCAAGATGATGTAGAGAGATATAGTGGAAACCGGACAGTGCATTAGGTATCGTATCGTGACTTTTGTCTGTCTCCATCTATCGCCCCCTAACAAAAGAGCCTTTCACGCATACTTAACCAGGTGGAAGACGACAAGAAGATCAAGGGTATGATCTGGTTCTTCTGAATCAGATGGAAAACCACATTTTTCCCGCAACTTCGGCATTTGTCCTCATCACTCATAGAATCTGTAAGAAAGCGCCAGTGAACAGATGGCGGAGACGCTTCGATCCCGCTACGGGGTGTAAAATGAAGCAAAATGGTCTATTTAGAATATTCTGATAAATTTTATAGAATATAGCATATTCGGTTTTGGGTTAAAGTGTAAAATTAAAAAAATTTATATAGTGCGGTGTAAAATTAGCTAACTTGCCGGATTCGGTTCCAATCCATTCGAACCCAATATGTTTAATGAATAGGGCCAAAAAATGAATCTCAATGTTTCTTTAACTTTTTTCTTTTGTTTTATTTTTTTTTTTACTTTTCTTGAACTATATTATTACACATTGATGCTTCGTTTGGGACGGTCTTCTTTCTACTTCTTAAAGCAGCTTTATAGTGAAAAGCCAACCTTTAATGTGAGTATTACTGAAAACTTGACAAATTTTTTATCTCAAATTGAACGATAAGATCTTGATATTATATGGTAGATATATCCTAAAGAAAGATCCTTTATCTCCCACTCACGAAATTGAAGTACATCATAAGTGATTGTGGTGGATAACTTTTTGGTGAGATTAATGGCTAGCAAAGGCTATGAATGAGAAGCGTTCTGGAATTTATGGTGGTTTAGAGAGGTATATTGGTAGGAACGTCAAAACTAGTCTAATTTAGAAGACCACTTTAAGGAGTGACTTTTATGTAAGATAAATGGTTGGAAATTATGATGGAATGTAGCTTAGGATGTAAATTTGTGATTTGGAGTTAAGGGTAGGTTTTGTTGGAGTTTAAGGCGATGTTCAAATGCAGAAAATAAAATTAGGTCAAAGTGTTCTCTAATTGGACCAATGGCTTTGTGAAAGTGTTTAGAATGGTTTTATAGCTTTGGTTGACGAATTATTGGTCTTAAAAGATGTATGTGAAGTGGAGAAAGAGTTGTGAAGTGTTTAAAGCACATGTTTAAGAGGAGTTATGAATAATATAAAAGAAATAAAGACAACTATCTAATTACACAAAAGAAAAGGCTTACACTTAAAGCTACCAAGCACCAATCAAATGAAAGCACTTCCCTACAAATTTATTTCATTCTAGAAATTGAAAATTATAATGCATATTAATACATAACTATAAACCTTACAAGACTAACCTTTGGAAGAAAAAAAAATTAAGGAAACGCGTGAGGGAAATTGGGCTTAAAGAGGGGTTTGGTGGACATTAAAGTGGAGTTCTAACTACATTTTTTTTTAAATGTCTTATACATACCTAATCATTTCATGGCTGGCCATATAAGCTTGTAGATGAAAAATAAAATATAAATTACATTTATAAATATTTTGACTATGCGTTGTTTATTAGGTTCTTGATTAAGATCCTTTAATTGGGCTTTTCTTTGATCAGTTCTTTGAGCTTTGTCTTAGATCTAGTAATTAGGCTTTATTCAGATGATATTTTACATCAACTCCCCTTGGCTCAATTAAACTTTGCTCTATATAGTTAAAATCCAAATAATATGCTACTAGTTGTTAAGTCAAAGTCTCCAAGTCAGTACGAGTCGGTCATATATCATCACTATGTGATTTATTCTTTCAATAAACTAGAAAATTATGCTCAACATCTAGCTCAATTAGTGCTTTCTTAGTGATGCTAAAAATCAATCTATAAAATGAGGGATTTCTATAAGTGGGGAATTATATTTCCTTAAAATTGCTATAATAACTCTCAAGCTTTTAGAGGTAAGCTCACCATAAGAAAATTCTCTTAAATTGTTTAAAAGTTCTAGCCATGGGAATCTTCCTAGTTTTCCTATAATATCAAATATGATGGTAGTGGGTAGCCTTTTCATGAGATTAATGGCTAGAAATGACTATGAATCTTTAGTAAAATATTTATAGAGGTATTATAAAGTTTATGGTAAAATTTAGAGGGGTTTAGAGGGGTGTATTAGTAAGAATGTCAAGACTAGTTGTTATAACCCTTAAATTTTAAAAGAGCTATTTGATTTACAACAGAAGAAACAATTTTATGATTCATTAAAAATTCAAATCACAAATCATCTTTCCCGCAACATAGATATTATTGTGTTTTAGTTTCAATAATTTTTTTCATAATTTTTGGGCTTATGTGAAATTACTTAATAAATTAACACTTATCAGTTCAAGTGGGGATTTTGGGATCATTAGATATCTGTTTTGAAAATCAAATTCACCTTAGTGTTTTGGACATACTTATCTAATTTATGAATATTTTTCAGTAATTTTTTATACTCAAATTTAAAGATATAAAAAGATTTTTGGCTAAAATCATAGAATTATCATATTTACTTAACTATTCTTTTAATATTTTATTATAAAAAAATCTAAATCCACTTATATATTCAAAGGCTTTTTTTTCATTCATTTAATAGGGAACAACGAGCTGGAAGGAGAATTAAGGGAAATTTTAAGAGAGAAAAATAAAAGGTAGGTTTATGAGGTCATAGAGTCGTTTTTATCCTTCGGCAAAGTTGAAAATTATGTTCATCTCGAGATTGGTCACATTATATCTATCTTAATTTTAAAAAATACATAATTTTTATCAAAAAAATTGTATTAAAATTTTACTTCTATTACCGAAAAATGTGGATAACTTTTCACTGCTAAAACTTTTATTGCGTAATTTTTTATAAGTTATAGAGATTAAGATTGAGAACTTTTTGAATATTTTTTTAAAAAATTTTATCAGGTAATTTAAAAATTATTTAATTTTTATCAAATAGAAAATAATCTGGATATTAAAAAAATAGTGAGGTAGTATAATTAATATCTTAAAATTGTATTTTACAAATTGGTTATTTATTGAAAATGTGTAGTTTTCCTTAGTAAGAATTTATGTTGTCCACCATTATAGAGAATTGTATAATTCTAACCCACGCTCAATTATGCTTTAATTGCTATAATACGATGAAAATTATGCATATGTAATTAAATTATATATGTTATGAGAGATAACGGGTGAAAATCCTTTGAGATTTTATTTAGGTCAGAGAATATTATGATACATATAAGGCATGTTCTGGTGGTTATAAGTAATATTCTGATACATACATGTATGTTATGGTGCTATAAGCACAAAAGAGAGTCATAAGGGATTAGAATCCATTGACACTACAGGGAAATCACGTGTTATCGGCGGACAAAAGTTGTTAAAAAATGCTCAAAATTCTTTAAAAATTAGTATTTCTGACAGAATTTTTTCAACAGTAAAACGCGCATCAGAAAAGTCACACCAGTGCAAAATAGGCCACCAGAAATATTTTCGGCCAAATATTTTGAGCCGACAAAAAAAAAATGGAAAAACACACAAACCAACGCGGCTGCACCAGCCAGGCACACCGAAACTTGCGGCCAGCCCGCCCCCGCCCAATGCGAATGCCCCAGTCATTATATGGCCAGATCAATTTAACAAAAATAATTAATTTTAAATATTTATTATAGTCATTATTTAGGAAAAATTAATTTTGGCCAGAAATTCCATCAGAAATAAATTTGCCAAAAAATGAATAAAAAATTCGACTAGAAAACCGGCAGAAAATATGTCAGAAATGTTCAGTCGGTAATCCGTCGGAATTTTTTCCGCCAGAATTTTTGACGAATTTATTTCTACTAAAAATTATGTCGGAAATGAGTTGTTTTCTTGTAGTGTGAGATTATTCCTGGGTTGGAAAAATTTGATGTGAAATGCACTATGATAGGAATTTCAATTTATTTATCTACTTAGTATTATTATTTAAATAATTAGATAAACACTATGCTCTTATTATATTTTTCAATATAATAATTTATTAGACTACATTTAACTACTTTTAGATTTTTAGCAAAATATTTAATTAAAGAATTTAGAAATTTAAATTGGTTTATATGACCTACTGAGCTATTATAGCTTAATGTGATTTTGCTTTTGATTTTTAAGATTTGGAAAAGGGAATTAGCTTATTGATTAGCAGTTCATGATCAGATCTGAGTCTATAGGTATTTCTCTATTTTAATTTTTATACAGTCATGGCTAGTTTATTATTCAGTTATGTAGCTTCTATATGTAGCAATGTATTCTTATTTTTATATTTTGATGAAATTAAAGAAATCTTGTGAATAAGTTTATTTTCAATACTTGAATGTTTTAATAGTTTTGTATTCTATTATTTATTTAAAATGAATATTGGAAGAGAATCTAAAATATTTTAAAACTAGATATTGGAATTATCCTGTCACAGTTTAACACGATATGACCTATCTTGATTGGGTTGGGTTGTGACACTAGTACAATGTGCTCATTTGGAATGTCACTTTAGGGAGTGAGAATTGGAAATGATGGTGGAAGGTTAACTTATGATGTGAACTTGTAATTTGGAGTTGATGATAACATTTGGCAGAGTTTAAAAGAACATTGAAATGTAGAGAATATGATTAGGTTTAAATGTTCCCCAGTTGGACCAATAACTTTATATAAGTGTTTAGAGTAGTTTTATGATTTTAGTTGTTGGATTATTAGACTTAAATGATTCTTATGAAGTGTAGAAAGAGTTGTGAAGAGTTTAGAATAGGTGTTTAAGAGGAGTTATGAATAACATAAAATAAATAAAGATAATTATAGAATCTCACCAAGAAAAATGCATACACTTAAAATAACCAAGTACCAAGCAAATAAAGAGCACTTCCTCATAAAATTATTTCATTCAAAAAATTGAAAAATTATAATGCATATCAGCCCATATTTATGAGCATTTTAAGACTAACTTTTGGAGGAAAAATAGAGGAGTAAATATATGGAAAGAGGAGGTTGGTGGACATAAAAGAGGAGTTCTAATTACCCATTTTTAATGCCACATCCCTATCTAACTATTTCATGGTTTATCATACAAGCTTCTAGATAGGAAAAAATAAATAAATTATATTTAAAAATTATGGATTCTTTTTTGGACTCTTATAATTGAGTTTTTTATCTTTTTTTATTTAGTTTAAGCTCATGTAATTGGGCTTTTAGCTTAATTATCTTCATCAATATGATG